GAAATACATTAAAATAAATACAGTTGAAATTTTTTTGTAATTAAAACTTTTATATGTTATTTGTAATGTTACTTGTAACTCAAAAGCTTATATTATATTTTATAACATTATTTTTAAAATTTTCCTCAAATAAATATTTTTAATAACTTATTTAAATTTTTTTCAAATATATTCAAGATATAGTTTAACATTTTTATCATTAATAAAATTTCTTTTGATATTAAATAAAAATAAAGAGAAAGTTTATAAACTAGTTATTGTAAATTATTCTCTGCTTACAAAATTATTTTGTTGAAGGACTTTTTCATGAAAATTATAATAATTACAAGTATAATAATATATTATGAAAAATTTTCTATATGATACGATAATAAAAGTAAATCTAAAATTTTAATTAGTGGAGTATTATTAAATTCATTTTTAAATTAAATATTTTCCAATAATTTAAGCATATTTTATGGATATAATATATTTTATTTAGTAAGAAGCAAAAATATCTTATTTTTGAAGTTCTTTATTTGGTATTATTTTATAAAGTTATTTTAATAAAATTCATAAAAAAGTTTTAAGAAATCGACCATCATAAATATAAAAAATTATTTTTAAAATTAAAAAAAACAAATGTCTTAGATTTTTAATTGAAACAAAATAATTAAAATTAATTATGAAAATTGATTATTCTTGTTTAATAGTGTATTTATTGTGCGAAAAATTAAACCATAGACATAACAATTGTTGTAAATATTTTAATTCGAAAACTATAAAAATCTAATTTTATTCATATTTTTAATACTGTGCTATGCTATGCTATGCTATGTTGTGAAAATTTTTACAAATCGAAATATAAACTTTAATTCAAATTATGTGTCATATATATTCAAATTCAAAATAGTTTATCTTCACAATTAATTATTTAAAAATAAATTTTTATCAGCAGTGATTGCATAATTCGAAGTAATTATGTATCATAATTTATTAATAGATTTAATTAGACTATTTCTTAATTAGACTATTAAATATTACTATTTTTTTAAAATAATTTTAAAATAGTGTTAAAGTTGTTTCGAAGAAAATAATGTTTTTTTTAAATTTTAGTAATTCAAAAAAATATTATGTTTTTTACAAAGTCGCTGCATTGTAATTTTTATTTGTTAAAAAATTTCGACAAAAAAATGAAACTTCAATAATTTGAAGATTTTATTTCTTAAAATTTTCTCTTTCCTTAAAATTTGAGATATATTATAAATATTATTCTAATATTCTAATATTATACATATATATTAATAAATTAATATTATTTAAAAAATATTATTTCATTTAATATTTAAATCACTGGAAAATGCTATGCTATGCAATTTGATTTTTGTAAATAAATAAAATATTTATTTTTTCTTTAGTTTTATTTTAAAGTAAGTGTAATATGTTAGGCCAAATGGGTGGCTTCGTGATATATATCTGATATATATTAAATATATTTCTTAAAATTTTTTAGTTTTTAGAAATTTAACCTTAAGCACTTAGAAAGTTGGAAAGTTTCCTAATTTATAAACTAGCAATATGTCACTATATTTTTAATCATTGCCCTGAGAATCATAAACCCTAGTAATTACTATTAATAATTCTAGGAACCTAAGTTTAGCGGAAAACTCGTTGTCTTATTGTCCACTAAAGAAACTTTTTCTCCTATTTCCAGATATATCGCACATGGAAAAAAATAACTCGAGATTGATCATTTCCTAAGAGATGAGTTTATTCTCTCGGGTCCCACTTCTAACTTCCTTACAATTTCAAAGAAGACCCGAATTCTGAATGAATAAATATAATTTATATATTGGAATGTAATCAATACTTATCAGAACACATAGAATATAGTAGAATATAATAGATTCATGAAAACCTATATAGATTCATTTTAAAACATTTAGAATAGTCTTGGAACATTCGCTTCGAACATTTTCAAATTTATAGAACATAATCGATATTCGTTTCGAACATATTTAAACTTGCATGGGATCTTTTCAATAAAATAATTCAGAATAACCTTAATCTTGTATATTCGCATTAAAATCTATCTTGTATAATAAGCTCTATTAAACATAGTTAAATGAATTTGATTCAATTTAATTTTTCCTTGATTTGAATTTTGAATTGATATTAAAATTTAGTTAGCATATCGTATGCAAAGTCAGCCGATTGTGATTTTGAAAGATTCACAAGATTAATTATTATATATATCAATTAAGTTAGAGATACTAATATAATCATTAATTGTATTGATCAGTAAAACATATATTTTGAGAGAATTGTACTGAAAATTGAAAATAATTATAGCGAAATCTAATTTTACTATGTTAGCAAATCTAATATTTTTTGTTTTCTATGATATTCCGATTTAATAATTTAGAATAAAGACAAAAAATTAGTAAAAATGAGTTTATTAGGGAATAGATTGTGAGATGATTTGATAAAAATAATAAATATACAGTAAGAAAGAATATATTTAATAAAAAAATAGAAATAAATATATTATATAGATGTGGTCAATGCCTTTGTTTGCTATATCGCGTCTCATGGTGGTTCAAAAAGGGAATAGACAAAACAAAATAGAAACAGTGATCGCGTAATACCCAATTTATATAAATATATAAGATATGAATCGCATCTTTACATATATAAACTCAATCGAATTAATAATAATAAATATAATAATACTGATCATAATATAATACAATGATGATTTAAAACAATTTAAATTTCTAGTACCTTTATGTATATGAAAGTTTGATAATTATTTACAAAAAACATATCTCACAGATTCCAATAATTTTAAAATATATTAAATATTGTCGCAAACAACATTTCTTTATATTTAAAATTGTTGTAGTTTTAGTTTCATATATAAGTAAATTTTCGTTGTATAATATTATAATGCAGTTAATATATTACGCATTGTGTTATATCAGAATTTTCGTTATAACATGAATAATATAAAGAAATATATTCGAAATAATTACATATGTCAAATATTTATGTTTTATTTTCTTTTTATTAAAAAATGATTTAACAAATACAATAGTTTTGTAAAAAAATAATAAAAAAAATATATACATTATTGATTTTAAAAAAAAATATATATGTTATATGAAGAATCGAAGAATAATATAAAAACAATAGTGACAATATCTTTGGCGCGTTGTAAAAATTCATATTATAAAAATTTATAATATTAAAAAATATTTTTATCATTTTTATAATTAATAATATTCAATATTGAATATTATTTAAGTATTTGACTTAAGTGCATTAAAGTGCATTAATTGATTTAAATAATGTTTTCTTTGATGATTTAATTTTGATTAGATTGGATTTATAATAATTAAAGAATATTCTATTATTCTTTTTTTTGTTATATATATTATAATTTAAATTATGTTTTATTTTTAATGAATAATGAAAATACTCTTTTAAAACTGATTATTATTTTTATATAACAAATATAGATATATTAATAATAATTAATATTTCAATAATATTGAAACAAAATATTTTAATAATAATTTTGATATATTTAATTTCTAATATTTATATATATCAGATTCGAATTAATTCAAAACGTTTTAAATTTCATTATTTATTTTTGCTAGCAATAATATTTTTGTTAATATTTTGAAAAATATTATGATATTTTAAAAAATAAACAGCGATTATATTTATAAAAAAATTGAAAAGACATCATTCAAGATCGTTTAAATTGAGATATATTTCTTTATAATTACTAAAAATTTTTATTTAATAATTCTTTGAACAAGAAAATATTGGATAATTAATTATACAAAAATGATTTTCTATTATTAATTTTCTGTTTAAAATATTTAGAAGAATTATAATTATATTTTTCATACTATTAATAGAAAAATTTAGACAAATATCCAATCTCAAGTAGTAAAGTCAATAATATATACATCGTAATACACAGAGTAATAAATAACGATATATGATCAGACTAAATAACATGCTCATGCTATCTATTACAATATTATCATGCAATGTGTTCATACATTCATAAAATAAATTAATTCTGCTACTTGCCTTACTGCTTTAGATATTTTATTCACAACGATCACTATGTCAACATTCTATAATTACAAGCATATTGAGTTATTATAATTGATACGATTTGTTTTATGTTATATTCTATTGATTGTATTATATTCTCACTGATTTAATATATTAATAGAACTAATAGAACTTTATTAACAAAATTACATATTTTCATTGTTATGGAATTTTTTGATTACTGGAATAATATAATTTACTTTATTTTATTTTATTTTTATTACATTTGTGGTTATACAAAAATATATTTTATTCAAAATTGATAAGTAAAAAAATAAAAAAAATGTTATATAGTTAAAAATTATTATAAAATATTAACAATAATTTTATAATTTAGGATATTTATTTATTTATTTATTTATTTTTGCATAAAAATGTAATCTTACTGTATTATAAGTCAATATACAATTCTTTATAATATATTTCAATTTTAATAAATTAATTACAAATATATTTAAATAATAATAAAAGATAGAAATATCCAAAATAATTTAAATTTAAAATATATTTAATAATTTTACGATTGTTTGGATACTTCATTATTTCTTTTACATATTTAGAACAAAAAATATATTTCATAAGAAATTTGTTTATTTTTTTAATAATTTTATCCGATCACTAAAATTCTTCATTTTTTAATCAGAAAATTTAATATTATTATCGTTATAAAATATAATAATTTTAAACATAATAATATATATAATATATTTTGTATAAATATTTTCAATGTAATTATTGTAATATTTAATGTAATTAAAATCCCTTATCATTAACAATATTAAATAATTGAAATATGAAATTTATGTTAAGATTTTCAAATTACAATCAAACTTTTTTTATCGAATACGTTTATTCCATTAATGAATTTTTCTTTTTCCATGCAGAGTAGAACGAGCACAGGAGATAGCAGAACGAACGTCGCAAGGATGATGAGCTCTATGCAAACACAGTTGCCCGGATCCTTATATGATTCGGATCAAATTGACCCGTACCGACTTCTCGAGGATGACCTCAAAGATATCTATGATGATATACGAGAGGTTAGTCAATTTCTAAGATTTATCAGAAAAATGAATAACTTTAATAATTTGCATATTGTTATATTCATTATGAAGAAATGGAACAAAAAAATTGTATAATTATTTTTATTATTTTTTAATACTGAAAAAATATTAAATTCAGATTTAATAAGTGAATAACATAACATAAAATTAGTTTTTAATTCTTATTTTTATTATATTATTATATTATATTATTTTATTATTTTTATTATTTTTATTATATATAATTATACTAATATTGATAATATAAATGTGCATATAAAAATATTTATGAAATAACAATTTTTTTGAATCTTATTCGAATTTCTTTATTCAAAATTATTTTTACATTATAATATAATTTTACTATTATATAAAAATATTATTTGCTGAAAATAAAAATTAAATTCTTGCAAATTATTAAATAAATAAAATTAAAAAATTAATGATTTTCAAGAGATTTGGCATTTTAAAAAATATATTAATCAAATTTAGATTTTATATTACTAATAATTATAGATTTTATATATTAATAATTATAGATTTTTAATATTACTTATTATATTATATTAATATTAAACATTAATATTATTATGAAAATTAATTCTTGTTTATTAGAAATCATGAATAATAAAAGAGAACTTTACGTCCATCTTAGTAACCATGAATTAAAGTATATGTTAATTAAAATATATCCTTTTTTTATGAAATTATTTTATTTTTCACTCGATTTTATTTTAGTATCAATACGTTTCATATATTCACTTTTTAACAATATATATATTCTTTGGTCTTAATTGAACTTAATTACCTGGAAAAATATGGAAGTTGAATTCCTTAGCAAAATTTATTTACTTTGAAACATGAAATAAATAAATTAATTTTTTAAATTATTATTATTGATATCAAAAAACTTATATATATTATTATATTATTATTTCGATAAACAAATATATAATAAATTAAATAATATTTTTTTAATTCTTAAAAAATAGAAAATTGTTTATTGACAATAATTTTTTTTAATTAATTTTTCCAATTAAATTATAAAACAAATTTTTACATAATAAAAATTATTTTATTTTTGTTATTATTTTATTTTTGTTCTTTTAGAAAATTCATTTCATAAAATGAAAAAAACTTAATAATAAATAATAAATAATTTGTTTTGTGAAAGAAAACTTTTTTTTTAGTGAAGGATTAAATAAAAATATTAAGGATTAAATAAGAGATGAGTTGAAATTTAATTTTTCAGATCTTGAATTTGAAATTAAAAAATTTATTTTAATTTTTTTTCTAAAAGGCAAAATTTATTTTATCAGCAATTTGAATTTCAATAAATTTTAATCTATTGTAATTTTGATTTGAAATTTATTAATAGTAACGATAATAATTATTTTAACATGGCTTATAAAAGTAAAAAAAATATCAAAAATTAATTTTTTTTCTATTTTATAAATAAACTATTATAATGAATTAGTGAAATCGTATCAATTAAAATGAAGTTTAAATTTAAAGAAAAATTTAATTACATTATTATTGAAAAAAAAAAATTTATATATTTTATACAATATTTTTGTAAATGATTTTTAATATTAGTGCTAAGTTTCGAGAATTTCGAATTTTATTTCATTATTATTATATTATTTTATATATTAAATAATATATTTAATAAAAATAAAAATTAAATTATTGAATTTATCTTTATAAAATTATGAAAAATATTTATATCTCAAAATATTTTAAAATATTTATTGATAAAATTCAAATTTTTATGCTTTCAATTTCATTATATTTCTAATTTGCTATTAAGAATCATGATTAGTAAAAAAGAATTTTTTGTTTTTATATTTTATTTCATTTTAATTCAATACAAATTACACAAATTAAGTTAATATCATTATTCTAAACAACACATATTCTTAATATGGTAAACTTTTATAAACAATTTTATTATGCTATTTATTATGCTATAAAATTTCAATAATTTCTTTACATAAGAATACTCTTCCTATATGGAATATTCTTTGAAATAAATCGAACAACTAATTGAAATCGATTACTATTTTCGATAAAAACCGCATCAATTTACTGCAAATTGTCAAATACTTCTATCAAATCATTTTAATAGAAAAGCGATAGTTCAGATCTGGAAGAAAAAATATATATAATCGTATACAAGGAAAAGTAAATGAATCAATTGATTTACGTCATCGTTGTCATCGAATTTCCCTTTTTGTTATTGAATAATGTAGAATTTCGTTTGTGAAATCATATAAATAGAATGCAAAAAGATAAATTTTTCAAATAGATAATTAAAAATAAATATTTTTATTCTTCTAATTATAGAGGATTTTGAAAATAATCTTTTTTTTTTTTTCTTAAATAGTAATTGTGATATCATCAATAGTACAATGATCAAAAATTTTTGCCATTTTTAATTCATTTGCTATTTGATTTATTTTTAATATCTTTATTTTTTAAGGAACATTTTCGACGTTCTTACTCAATAGCATTAATTAAATATATCATAATCTTATTCTTACGATTAAGGATTTAAAAAATTTCTGGATTCAATACAATGACAATAAAATTTAAAAATATAAAAAATGATAATTTGAATGCTACATTTTATGTGATAGAATATGATGAAACATATATGAAGAAATGCATATATCTTTAAATTCAGAATCTTCAAACTTTTCTTAATAGAAAAAAATCTCATTGGACAAGATATTGAAAGATATAAAATATATCTTTATAAATCAAAAAATATATTTTTTATATATAATATCAATAGCACATACAAAAAACTAAAACAAATAAGATAAATAGACAAGACTCACGGATTCAGAATATCGAACATTATAAACTCTCGATATAAACTTTGAATTTTATGCTATTTTATTGCGGAACTTCATATAACTTCACTATATACAGTATTATTTTTTATTTTTTGAAATTATTTAAATAATATAAATAAATAAATAATAATATATAATAATAAATAAATAAATAATATAAATAATTTTTATAAAATATATAAATAATATTATTTAAATAAACATTATTTTTATTATTATTTTTTTATATATTTTTATTATTTGCTAAATAATCAAATTTACGAACTTTGTAGGAATCTAGAAATCATAAAAAAATGTTAAATATGTCAATTTATATAAATATCATAATATTAATATTATTTTGAAATGAATATTTTATTAAAATATAAAAAAATTATATTAGAATGTAATATATTAGAATCTTACTATCATATATAAAATACATAATACAGTATATAAAAAATTCAATCTATCTCAATCTCAATCTATTTTCAAAGTTTAATTTATAGAAGAAATGAAAAATAGATATTAATAATATATCATCGTTTAAATGTTTTGATAAAAAATTAATATAATTATTGAAATTAAATATTATGTTATAATTTTATATTATATATAAAATATATTAGATCAGAATTAGAAATTCCAATTATATCAAATTTTATTGCTAACTATTAAATGTGATTCTTTTGTATATATATTTAAACTAATATATTTAGAAATATTTACATTCTAGAAAATCCATTCTTGTATCTAAAAATGATTATGTATTTATAAATTTTTTAACTAATTATTGTTTTCTAAAAAATTTGTTTTCTAATAATCAGATAATCAAAACTTCATTTTATTGTGTAGAATTATATCCATAATATAATTTGTATATTTTATTTGGTTTCAAAAGTTCTTTTATTTGTATATGTTTTCTTGTTAAATAATTTGAGCATTTCTACAAAATTAAATTAATAATATTAAAAAATTAACAAGTTACAAATTTATTGACTATTCTTTTATAATTATATATCTCAAATAGAATAATTAGATGATTTAATGATTTCTCATAAAAAAAAAATTGGTTTACATGACATTAAGGGCCATCTTGATGAATACTTTTGAAATAAATCAAAATTATTTTGGAAAAATATGAAGAAGTGGAAGTTTCAAAAATTTAACGGAATTCTAACATCAAGTATTCTTTATAAAAAATTTTATAGATGATAAAATCATAGATCATTAAAGTATGTAAATATAATAAATATCCAATTATCTTTCCTATCTTTTCAATAGTATAAGTTTTAATAACAAAAAATAAATTATATAATAAATTGTAAAATAAAAAATAAAATAAAATAATAATTTCTAAAAAAATGATTCCATTCTATTATAATAAGATAATAAATTACATAATAAATTGTTTTAATAAAAAATAAATACAGAACATTTGTACGATGGAAAAAAGTGAATAAAAGTTTTGGATTTAGCATAATTATAAATATTTATAACAAGGAACACGCGTTTTCACGTGTAGTTATCCCATCAGCGAAAGCAGCCCATGACTTCACGGTCTGCATATACGGTCGAGAGTAAAACTTTTACTTACTTGATCGTCTAGGCTCTAACAATTGTATTTGCGTATGCACGTACAAACATGTTTAGAAAGCACTTTTTCTCGTCGCGACGGTAGAATGCGATAACATTGACTTGTCAATTACATGCTATCACTATTGTTAATATTGCGTTTCGCTTTTTAGGGTTAATTAACACGCGAATATCGAATTAATTGTTTCGTTTGATGAATGCAATAATTATTATCTATTGGTTTAAGAAAAATTAAAAAATTAATTTTAAATTCTAGATTTGAAAATACATTCAAATGTATGATTTTTTATTTTTTATAAATAAATTAATTAATTATTCAAATTAATTAAAAGATTCATTTGATTAATCGATTTAAAAAACCAAATTATAATAAAAAATATAAATATGAAACATATTTAAAAATTAAACAATTTGTAATATATATACATATTTATTTTGTAAGAGAATAATAAATAATAATATTTATATATAACATTTATATTTATATATATTTAATAATAATATTTATATATAATATTTATATTTATATATATTTAATAATAATATTCAATATATATAAAT